ACCCTTTGAAAAAAGTTGTTGAGTTTTTTCCTTTATGTTTTGTACTGACGGTACCAAGAACACAAGTCTAAGACGAAGTTTTCCTTTGGGTTTGTCTGACGTGTTGGTATCCATTTATTATAGAAGACATTCTCTTATGGTGGCAACATTTACTTGTCTTATGTACTAAGATATGCAACACACATCAATTGCTTCAGATAATTTTTAAAGTTGGTTACGCCACTACAAGTTATTTGCAAAAATATGTTCATTAGTTTTCAATTTCTTTTCTTTTGAAAGCATTTTGAATGAGATTTGTACCCCAGCTTGCAATTTCTTGTATGTGCCCATTTCAATTTCAATTGAAACATAAGTTGCAATACCATGCCTCTAAGCTCAAACATTACGCAAATGTTTTTATTAACTTCTTGTAAATACTCAATGAACATGTCTATCAAGCCATTTTTAGCTTGTTCTTCATGCACAAACCAAGCTTTGGTACCATTTGGAACGTGATTTTTACCCCACTTATAATGTCTTGTATGTGTTGATATTAGACTAAACTAAAAATAAGTTTAAACACTACGCACTAATCTTATAAATTATGAAAATTTTACAATTTACGACCTGGAAGAACGCCTGGAACATGGATATGAAGATAAAGAATGTGGGCTAGATTTAACAATTTATGACCTTACGTTTTGCAACCAGCGAGATTATCTCTGACACGTTGCATTTTATTCGAATAGAAGTCGCGGTTTTTCAACGTACCTCACATCTTGTGTAATGCGAGTTTCTTTCTGACACGTTGAATATTATTCGATTTAAAGGTAGCGTCTTTTAAACAGACCTCACGTCCTGCCAAACTTGAGGTCCATCGATTCCTCGCTTCGAAACGAGTGCGAAGACTGTTATAAATAGAGGTCCATTTAAAAGTTTTCCTAAACATATTTCAAAGAAAAAATGACAGAAAATATGGATTAAAATTGTGGAGTTATTCTGAAAGAAGTGTTATAAAAAATTATTGTGCATGTGGCTTCTAAATCTATCGTTGATTTCGTCAACATGTAGTTGAGTTGCAAGACTTTTCATGAAGCTACGGATCACAATTACATTTTTCAAAACTTTTTAATGAAAAATTTCAATGTCATGCCATGGAATCAAGCCAATAAAACTTTTCACGAAAGATGCCTTGCTGTTAATAATCGTGAAGCTTTATATGGAGACAACATGTATAATTATTTTAGTGGAATAAATTCAGAATCTGGTCTGCATTGTTTGAAGAAAACAACCAAAAAAGGTAATATCAATGACATATAATTATATGGCCTTATTCTAATTTTTCATGGGTCCGAATTAAAAGATGAAGGACTTTGAAATGTAAAAGCTCTCAATCTCGCCAATTCTAAGAAAATAAATATAGAAGTTATTCATTCGAAGATGAATCCGTTTAATATTGTGGAACTTCACAACATTGTCTTCCCAGAACAAACTAAAGACTGCAATTGTCCTAACAACTATCCTCGAAATTCATACGAACAAGTTTGACAACCAATGAACAACTTATGTACTTGTTATGATTCTTGTTTTTTGGAACCATGAAACAATTTTGTTTTATAACATTTTACTTCTGTATTGAATTATAATTTTAATAATTAATTTCAATTTATTTATAACAATTGATTTTTTGTTATTTTATTAGTTACTATACAATAAAAATAAAATTATTAAAATAAATTCTTAAGATGGATATACCTCGCGTTACACAAACTACGAGGTCCGTTCAAAAGATGCGATACTTCAAGTTATCGGGGACGTTTCAATATATCGGGAACCTAGCGTTACGCAAAATGCAATGTCATTATTTAAAATATTAAATTGCATTTCCTGAAAAGTATATTCACGTTGGAGGAGACTCGCGCCTCATAAAATGCGAGACCTTTAAACGCGTTTTATAAGACGCGAGGTAGTCTTAGATGTGTAGCGTGTAGCTTGGGGGACATTTTTCCAAAAAATCTTGTTTGAGGTATTGTTCCAAAAATGAATTTTTGAGAGTTATTAAACTGAATAATTATTTTTACTCATTTTTCAAGCACTCCAATCTAGAACATTTAATTTTATATTAAGGTAGTATCTAATTGGATAAAAATTATTAATTGACTAACGATCAACATTTATTGCTAACGTGACAAATTCTACGTGTCCAAAAGACAAACATGACACTATTACGTGTACATAAGTAATTATGTAATACATATCATGTATTTAAAGTGATGACATAATACATACCATGTGTACAAAGTGATGACATGATTTGTTATATATCTAAAATAATGACGTGACACATATCACGTCGATCATTAATCATTAACAATTTTCGTCCAATCTAGATCATTTTAACTCAAAATAAAATGTTATCTGAGCTAAAATGCTTATAAAAAAACATGATCTAAAACGACTATTCAGACTGAATTTCGATTTTTTTTGAGATTTTGATCTTTCACAGAGCAGCTGAATAAAATAACAAGAAGAGGCCCTCCATCCATGGCGAAGCTCTAAGCTAATGGTCTTCAGACTGGGCAAAGACGACAATATAGTGGGTAGACTGGGCAGATGGTTCACATCCACCTCCTACTTCTACCTCTTCGTGAGACTAGATATACGACCATATACCCCTTTTCTCCCATGTCTAGACGCAGATTGCTGCAAAACCACAAACTAATATTATCAAGTGTGATCATACAAAATAGATAACCTACACATTTAGTATCCCAACTATCACTTTTATTTTGTTTTCGTCATCCAACTATTGTTTGATTTCAAAATCTTACCTAATGCTATGGTTTGGTTTCGTTTTGATCATCTACTGTTAAAAAATTAACAGTGATGTTGATGTGTCAACATAACATAATGCCATGCCATCATTGAATTAAAAAAAAGGCCACGCCAGCAGTTCTGTTGACATTTTTAACAGCATGTGACCAAAATGAAACCAAAATGTAATATTAGCTATGATTTTGAAACAAAAAATAGTTGGGTGACCAAAACAAAATAAAAATGGTAGTTAGGGTACTAAACATTAAACATGTAGTTTATCCTACAAAATATTATGAAAACAAAAAGTAAAATTGACAGTTGACTCAAGTGACTTAAACACTAAAAAAACTAAGAAACAATAGAAATTAATCCTGCAAAACATAAAATGTTATGATAATTAAGCAGTTCTATTAAGGCATTTTTCAGGAAACCATGAAGATATCTGAAGATACACCGACAACGCTAAAACTCACCCGTATTCTATTGCTAAAGCTTGACCACCTTATTAGGCCCTATTTAAAGAACATGACTAGAAAATATCAGGGTAAATTTAGTATTTATACTATTACTTTTGTTTCGTTTTGATACTCAAATTTTATTTTTTTCAAAAGCATACATAATGTTTAGTTTATGTTTTATTTTGGCACCCGCCATTAAAAACTTAAGGGTGATGTTGACGTGTCATCATAAGGTAATGTCACGTCATCATTGGAAAAAAACAAAAAAAAAATATTACGTCAGCAGTTCTATTAATTTTTAACAGAGGGTACTAAATTGAAACTTAAACTACACCTTAGGTATGGTTTTGAAAAGAAATAAAGCTTAAGTACCAAAACAGAATAAAAGTAATAGTTTAGGTACTAGAAATATAATTTACCCAGAGTGCTATCCAGTTATCAAATATAAGCAGGGTACATTACCTCAGTCTTAGCACGAAGCTCTAGAGTGCAGTAACAGATATGGCACTCTGCTGTGTTGGGGGGACCATTGAATTTTTCAGATTTCACAAATGCAAATACCTATATGAAAGTGATAAATCAATTATGACTAATGGGAAGCCTAACAGTGGTTAGGTTTGTAGGAGAAGATACTAATGTCTAGGAAATGGTGCTTTCTGAAATCTGAAACAGAAAATAAATGGAGGATAAAAAATTGTTAGGATTCACCTTCAAAGCCACCAAGTCATTTCTCCAGAGTCTCTGAAGCACCCGAACAGGAGAAAGAGAGAGTTAGAATGATCCCAAAGTAGCAGTCAAAAGCCAGATAAATATAAGGTTTGTTAGAACCTGACCAGCAGCTGATGCAAGTGGATGCCCATAAAGAGAATGCCATTAACAGTGGAAAGAAACCCAAAGTGGGCTGCTTGGCTGTCATAGGGCATATCTGAACTGAATGGATCTTTATATGCTAGACTAATTGTGTAAAGTACAGCCAAATGCAAAAATAAGGATCCATATGCTCGCTAATGCCAAACTTTGTGACAAATCTTCCTGCCCTACATTCAAGAAAAGCCCAATACTCAACCAGAACAAACACACAAAAAAAAGGAAAACATACCACTGATCCAACCCACCATTTGCCAAACAACATAACAATACAATGGATCAAAAATCCACCTTAGGCAACTCATTTAGCATAATCAACTATAAGTAAAAGATGAGCATAATATAAACTACTTTTCTTTCATTTTTTTTACTTGTATTAGGGTTAACACAGTTATTAGGAATTCTTCACAACGCGATTCTCTGGGTTTTGATTAACCTGAAATGGGACAGAGATACAGCATTGGCTTAATCAAAAAATAAATGCTCAAACTATATTTTTTCCCACTTTAAGTGATTAAAATATTTTTCTTTTGAAGTAGGTGTTTACTTTTTTCAACGTTACATTTTAAATATCTGGTCTATCATAGTCATTAAAAAATTGTTATCTAATACGTGTTGCCATATTAACATTTAAAAAAAATTGTTTACAAAAAATAATTATAATTTTTATTAAAACAAACTCATTTTTTCAAATCTCAAAAGGTCGCAAGACTCCTAAAAACTTTAATTCCAAACTCATTTTTTTGTATGTTGGAGAGAAAAAAAAACCACTGAAATGTTAACCATAATGAAAAATTAAATAGTAATTGTGAATGTAAATATTAATGGAGAACTATCGCCCTTAATAGGGACGTTATTTATGTTTGGGTGAAAAAGGGATAAAGAAAAACGCTCCACTTCTTATATCGATTTGTGTATTTCACATATATGAAATGAAGACAAGAAATCCAAATTTCCATGCTCTCTTATACAGAAAACCAGTGACGCTTCCATAACACTTCACTGTTTAGAAAAGATTATAAATCATTTATCAACAAATGACGACTCTGCAAGATCAATGGCACGGGCAAGAGCCGCAGCTTTATTCTCACACTCCCTCTGTTCATCGGCAGGGACACTGTCCGCCACAATCCCAGCCCCGGCTTGGACGTGAGCAACCCATTCTCGACGCTTGTTCACGTCTTTGTACGAATACATGGTGTCATAACGAGTCGCAGTTGGGAAAACAATGGTTCTCAGAGCAAGCGCAATGTCCATGTCACCGGAGAATGAAATGCCTCCAAATCCACCACTATATGGTCCTCGCCTCGTAACTTCAAGTTTATCAATCAACTCCATTGCTTTTACCTGTATTGCAGTGATAAGAAAAAGGTAAACCGGAACAACGTAAAGCTTACATAACCAACCCTTGAAGTAGAAAGAGATCAGTGAGTAGGGAAACCTTCGGTGCCCCACTAACAGTTCCGACCGGCAAAGCTGCACGCAAAACATCCCAGCTAGTTAAGTCATCAAGTAATTCTCCTGTGACCTGCATATTCATATAGAACATTGCCACTATGAACATCATATGTAGGCATTGTATAGCAGCTTAAATAAGGTGGAAAGTAAGGTTAAAGTTCACATCTCCCCCATCACGTTCATACATGTACTTCCAGAAAAGGAAAGCATACCGTTGAACTTATGTGCATAACATGGGAATATCGCTCGATATTCATCAACTTTTCGACCTTAACAGATCCGGGCTTGGATACCTGTATGAACATAAATAAGTACAAGCTTCAAGCCAATGTATACTAGCATAATTCACAAAGGATACATTAGAACTTCTGAAAACTTGAATGAAAATTTAGAGAGGTCAATAATAGAAAAATAAACCTTTCCAACATCATTCCTTCCCAAGTCAACAAGCATAATGTGCTCTGCACACTGCTTTTCATCAGCTAAAAGTTCTTTTTCCAACATTAAATCTTCCTTAGGTGTTTTCCCTCTTCTAATGGTCCCAGCAAGAGGTCGATTAGTAATCTTTCCCTGTCATCAAGATATAAAGATAAAAGGCTATAAAAGTCGGTTAACGGCAATCTAATGCGATAACACATTTGACAATGGAACCTCACTAATGAACCCCAAGATAGTAAGGAACTACACTGAAACATATATTGCATCAAAATATTTATTCTGTTACTATAACAATTACCTTCTTTACGCGAGTAAGAATTTCCGGACTGGAAGCAACAATTACACACCCTCTAGCCTGATAAGAGTAAAAACATGTTCAAAAGCTAAAATTTCATTAAGCGAAGCATTTACAACCAGGATCAAGGGGAAAACCTGCAAATATGTCATGTATGGGCTCGGATTGACTATCCTCAGGGCTCTGTATATTTCAAATGGGTCAGCAAATGTTCTACGTTGAAAGCGCTGACTTAATACAATTTGGAAAATATCACCGGCCAGAATATGTTCTTTAGACTGCAACACAGCCTCCATGTATGCATCACTTGTCATGCTTGATATCTCCAATTTCGGGCCAAAAAGACGAGTAGACAACTTTATTGAACCTGCAGGCAGCTTTGGGCTGAAATTGACAATTCAAGCAGAAAATTTACAACTGAACTGAAGTGAGGAAAGTTGTTCAAAAAGGTATGTGATCATTAGGAAAACAATCACTCACGGATTTATATCATGTACTCTAGATATTAAAGTTTCCAATCGTTTCATGCCATCATTATAGGCCTCATCAACTGAAGAATATTGATCTAACCGCACCCAATGAATCACAAATGCTTTCTGTGTTCAAAATGTTAATAAATCAAATCGAAGAGCATTCTCAAAAGCAGCCACAAAGTCCAACTTAATTTTAAAATGAAGGCCTCATATAAAGATGTGTAATGTCATATGTTAAAATCAAAAGAATCTTGCCATCACTATAATAATCATTGAAACAGCCCTAAGTTATGAAAGAAGATCAAGTGTTACACAATTTCAACATATAAATTTAAGTAACACTAAAGGAAATAACAGATGCCACTAAAGACACATACACCCTGGCAAACAGAAGAAATTGAGACACAGTAAGAGAGAAATTATACACACACTAGGCCAATGTAAAATACCTTCTCAACATGATCAAATACAATGACATCATCATACAGGCCGAGATGAACATCTGGAAGGTTTCGGTCATCCAGGGGAGCATTAGGGAATGGAAGCTTCTTTTTCTCTACATACCGCACCGTGTCATATGAGAAATAGCCAACCCATCCACCTGAACAAATACACTGTATAATTACACCATAATGCACTGAAATGGATTAAAAATCCGGGTGTATGTACTCCTATGTTCCAGTCTTTGGTGAAAGACATTGCTGCCTTAGTGGAGAGTAGAGGGGTAATTGTTAGGCATATTTTGAGAGCTGCTAATTGTGAAGCGGATTAACCAGCTAAAGAAGGAATAGGATGATTATTAGAGTATTGAATTGGTTGCACAACTATTGAGTTGGTTATTTATGTTCTGTGTTTGGTTTTTAAGTTTTATGTTGTAACAGAACTTCTTAGGATGGCTATGTATTATTCTGGTATTAATGAATTTTTAGGCACTCTTTTCCTCCTTCCTATGTCCTTCATGTTATTGTTGTAACATGAAGGTTAAGCAGGGGGTTTTTAACGAGGCCTATCCAATTTCTATCAAAAAAAAAATTACACCATAATTTGATGTCTTCAAAGGCAATAGCTTTCTCTTCTTCAATTTCACCCATTAAAAACTGATGTGAAAAATAAATATTTCCAGAAATGTCAAATAGTAGCATAATTCTAGAGTGATAAAAAATCAAGACTAGATCATATGAAAAAAGAACGAAACAAAAAAAATGAAAAACAAAAAAGATCATAACTATAAATTACAAAGTCAATGATAAGCTCTTCTTGCAATACTCAAATGAAGTACGATGAACACCAAGCGAAGCTAAAGTGTTAGCTCTACGGATCAATAAAAATAAATCAAAAGGAATGAACTGGACTTTTAAAAAAATTTAAGTACATGCAATTTAAAGATAAAAAATTATATCAATAATTAGAGTGATTCGAATTCTAAGTTTACATCCACTACCTTAGCATTTCTCAAATTAACAAGATGTAACATCACAAACACTTCATGGTCTATACCCACAACCTTGAATACACGCTGACACTCTCTAAAAGAGTAATTACAAATGAAACAAATAAATAAGAATCCACACAAGGCAAATGTATTTGCACAAATAAGCATTCACCCAATGCACACGTGAAAAATATAAACAACATAACTCACAAATTTGTTACAAATAAAATGTTACAAGTAAGCTCTCAAATACTCTTTTGACGTTGGTATGTTGATTTAATATTATTTCTTGTTCTTCAATTAAATCTTGGTCTCTTTTGTCTTCTCATGCATTTCTAACCGTTAGAAGTGGATTAGAGCCGTTGAAAATATTTATCTACAATATTAAATGTTCACCTGCAATTTTGTTATCGATACCAAGATATGAGTATCGAGACCGAGCATCCAACTTTGAAAAATATAGCCGTTAAAGCCTTTAGTATCGATACTATGAACTGAATATCAATACTCATACACCGATATCAATACCAAATTGCATTCCATAATTTTGTCAAATTTAAATTTTTTTAGCCTTAAAAAATATTTGTAAATTATATAATGACTCAAAAACACTTAAAATTATGACAACTTTTCTTAAAATACAAATTTTAACAATTAAAACACTTAATAACTTATGTTATATCAAAAATCAAATGATGGTAAAATAATCTCCCCTTTTTCATATAATAAAACCGTTTGTCCTATATTTTGTGAAAAATAAATCTCCCCTTAATAAAATTCTTTTTTACTAGAATATCTTAAAAATTAATTAAACATTTTTGCAAATTTAAACTTATATTTTTTTTGTTATAATTAAATAAAAATAATGTAATAAAGTATCAAAATATTAAAAATATTTAACAATAAAAAGATAAACTATAAATTATTCTTAACAAAAATTATCCACAAATATAATAATATAAACAAGAGTATTCCACGTTAAAGCATCAAAAATAGAAAGTACTAAACACAAACATTAAAAATTGTCATAAGAGCATAATTTACCTAGTCGTAAAATAAAATGAAGAGACTATTCTTTCGGAGGTGTCGAACGAGAGGGAGACATAAAATATGACACATCAAATGATTTTTTTTTTTGGATAAAAGTTGGAGGTCTCATTAAAAATCCCCTTCATGCTTTTCAGAATACCAAGTATCCAAAAAGTAATAGAAGGAGGAAAAGAGTACCTCGGATTTTATTACCATCTTAAGTCCATACAAGAAGTTGAAGTACAATATCGTCCTCTAAACTCTCCTAATAAGAACAGGACCACATTCAAACATAGTTCAAAAAAGACCTCCCAATAATACACAAATCCATAAAGAACTGACTCTTCTACCCTATTCCTTTTTTTGCTAGTTTGTCCGCTTTCGTGTTAACACTCCTAACACAACGAAGTACAAATGCCCTTTCCTTAACAATTTTTGCAATGCCTCCAACCAATTCCATAAAGGGTAGCGGACATAATATAGGATCTTTTATCCACCCTACTGTTATACTGCTGTCGCTCTCCACAATCAACCTATTCCTCTTGCTAACTTCCATGTCTAAGAACATCAAGATGCCTTGTTTGATGGCTAATAATTCTGCCAAAATAAGAGGTCCTTGCCCAACAGCCTTAGAGAACGTAGCTAGACAGTGCCCACTCTGATCCCTATATAAACCGCCGATACCCCCTCCTTCCCAAGAGTTCTTTGTAGCTCCGTCCACATTTACCTTGATGAACCCAGGCGGTGGTAGAGACCAAATCTCAATCACCGTATTTTGGATTGCAACTCCTATCACGTTGTCAGCCAGCGAAGGGTCACTGAACAAACTGTCGAAAGAGATGGCTACCGAAGGATGGCCATGACACTAAGTGATACTTTGTTAGGAAAAACAACACAACATCTAAATGGTTGTTCTGAAAGATTAGTTCATTCCTGGCTTTCCATATGGTCCAACACACAGCAGACGGAATGAATTTCCAGATTTCACTTGATTTAGCCTTTATATCATTATGCCATGAAATAAGAAAAGAAGAGATATCACCAGGAAACACTGTTGAAATTCCCCAGAAGCTAATAATCCGATTCCATACTTCCCTTGTGACCTTGCAGCTATGTGGGGAAGGAGTGGGAGTCGGAGGTGAATTTTTCCTTCATTTCCCTTATTCCAAAGAAGGCAAATCCGGAGAGATTAGAAGATTTTAGGCCTATTAGTCTAGTGGGAGGATTATATAAAGTTCTATCTAAAGTCTTAGCTAGAAGATTGAGTTTGTGTATTAATGATATTATGAGTCCGTCTCAATTTGCTTTCATCCCGGGTAGAAACATATTGGACTGCTCGTTTATTGCAAATGAGAGTATTGACTTTTGGAGAAAGAAAGGGTTGAAGGGAGTAGTCTTCAAGGTGGATTTTAAGAGAGCTTACGATTCGGTGGATTGGACAATTTTGATGCAATTAATGAACAGAATGGGGTTTGGAGTTAAGTGGAGATCCTGGATGTATCAATGTATGTCAACTGCTTCGATTTCGGTTTTAGTAAATGGGTCTCCTACGGAGAAATTTAATACATCCAGGGGTTTGAGGCAAGGTTGTTCGCTTTCACCTATGTTGTTCAATTTGGCTGCTGAGTTGTTGCATTTGTTGTTAACTAAAGCAGTGGAAATGAGACTGTTTTCAGGGTTTGATTTAGGAGTTCATGAACGGGCATTCAAGCTATCACATCTCCAATTTGCGGATGATCTTATAATTTTCAGTAAAGGTTCTATCCGTGATTTGAGGAATGTTAGAAGAGTGTTACTCATTTATGAACTTTTGGTGGGGTTGAAGATAAATCTAGTCAAAAGTAGGATTTTTGGTATTAATGTTGAGGATGGGGAGTTATCTACTTGGGCTAGTGATATAGGTTGTTTGATAGGCTTTTTTCCATCAGAATATTTAGGACTTCCTTTGGGGTACAAGAGGAATTCGGCTGCTATGTGGGAGCCTATAGTGGCAAAATTTCATGCTAAATTGAGTGGTTGGATGGCTAATTCCTTGTCGATAGCGGGAAGGGTGGTGATGGTCAAATCGGTGCTATGTTCTCTCCCCGTATATTTTCTTTCTATTTTCAGAATTCCAGCCTCTGTGTTACTTAAACTTAACTCTATCATGGCTTCATTTCTGTGGGGGGGTTCGGTTGACAAGAAAAAAATCCATTGGGTCAATTGGAAGTTGGTTACTAAACCAAAAAAACTGGGGGGCCTAGGAATTCCTAATTTAGCACTTTTGAACCGAGCCTTACTAGGGAAATGGGTTTGGAAGTTTGCTTCAGAAAAGAAGTCTTGGTGGAAGAGAGTGGTGTGTGCTGTTTATAACTTGGATCAGAATTCTATTATGATGGGGAATTCGTGGTCTGCTCGTGCATCGTGGATTTGGAAAGGTGTGGTGAAAAACTTCTTCAGCAATGATGGTTTTGGAGACTATCTTATAATGAATATGCGTTTGAAGACAGGGAAAGGGGAATCTGTAGAGTTTTGGAATGATGTTTAGTTGGGTGAAGTTCCCTTGAAAATTCTGTTTCCAAGACTTTTTGTTTTATCCAATAATAAAGCGGGTAAAGTGATGGAGTTTAGGGTGAATAATGCCTCGGGTTGGGTGTGGGATATCCAAATGAGAAGGAATTTGGCAGATTGGGAAATTGAACAGTGGCTATAGTTGATTTCTATGTTGAATAATACTTCACTTTATTCTGCAGAAGATGATTGTTGGATTTGGTTAGGGAATGGTGAAGGAATTTTTACAGCAAAGTCTTGTGTCAACTCTTTCTTTGATCATGGTGGTTTTGAACAGAATTTTGTGAATTGGGAAAAACATATTTGGGTAGGGTTAGCACCTCCACGGGTGGAAACGTTTGTTTGACAATTAGCGCACCAGAGAGTGCCGGTTAAAGAGGAGTTAGTAAAGAGAGGTGTAGCAAATATTGATGATCAATGTTGTGTATTGTGTGGTAAGGAGGTGGAATCAGTGTCTCATTTATTTCTGCATTGTAGGGCTGTGTGGGGTCTGTGGTCATCATTTTTGAAAATGTGGAATGTGTCTTTGGTGATTCCAAAGCATATCATTGATTTTTTCACTTTGTGGGATGATTTATTGCCTAAATCTT